GCTCCACAAGGGAGAAAAAGAAAATAACAATAATTTCCTCCGACTCAAGGGAGGCATTCAAGTTATAATCACGGTGTCGTGGGGGACCTTGCAAACCCTCACGTTCCGATGATTGCGCGCAAGTGGTACGCGAGCACTCGGGCCCATCAGTAAGGAAGATAAGATAAGATAAGATAATAAAATTATGATAAGACATCATAATTAAGCATAATCAGCTCATGCATATTTATTCATGTGTACTTACAGTTATTTTGTGAGATATAGTTCCTACTTGCTGAGCGAAAGCTCAATCAGATATGTTCATGCTGTAGGTAAGAAACCTATCAGCAATTCTTGAAGGGCAATGGCGAGCGGTGGACGAATGGTGGAGATGGGAATGGATACCGCTCACGCAGTTATTTTCCGCCGTAAGTTTAAGAAAAATCATGTATATGTCTATATGATTCAAAAGTTTCAAGTATGTATGTTTAAAAAGTATACGTACATATGTATGTTAAGAAAACGAAGGTTGTAACTAACAACCCTAGTTTTGAGTATTTAAGTTTTAGAATGTTACAGTACATGCAACAAATAAATGAATTTTAAACATGACGATTTAAATGAGTAATTTTAGAAGGACTTTAAGATGTACTTGAATTTAAGATTTCTCACGAAATCCGTTTTAAAGTCAAATGAGATGGCCGATTGAAATGACTAGTTTTAGAAAATCTTTTAAAGAGTATTTAAAACAAGAGTTCAAATGCTATTCCATTTGAAGGATATTCCTAAAAGGTTTTATCTTAACTAAAATTAAGAAAAACTTTAAGAAATTTAGTGATTCACTTATTTGAAATTATTGTTACAAATTATGAAAGTATTCCTTCTTAGATAAAAAAAAAAAAAAAATGTTCCGCATATTTTAAGAAACCCCAGTAAGTACATGTTAAAGTTTAAGTTACAGTGGCGGCCTCATAGGAGGGTCGCCACAATGCCAAACCGCCGCGAATAAGTCGATATTAGGGGACCCAACATTGTAAAACTGAGCATTATTTGACCTCACCTTATTAAGTAGATCATACCAATATCTCCAACCAATGTGAGATTTTAATACATGTCGTTTCTAAAGTCTTTTCCCCCTGTCCTTTACATACGACATACGGTTTTCAAATGTTCCACACATTAACTTAACAGCTGCCCATCTCTAGTTAATTTGTCGTTTAAAAAACGCCGCCCCAAGCTCAACAAATAGGATCCGAAGGATGAAGAAGGTAAAACACCAACGAGCATCACCATTAAAAGCGTTCCTAATGAGAACAAGAAATTGGATTCTCAAAACATTCAGAGAGTTGAACAGTTCTTTGCTTTGACTTAAGAACATGGACGACAATGAATTCGAAAGGTGACATATACCATCAAAACGACAACTAAAAATGACAGATGGAAAAAAAGAAAAACCACACGTAAAAACGACAAGAGTACAATACTATCAAAACGACAACTAAAAATGATAGTAACGGATAATAAGACAACTAAAAAAAATATCGATTGCAACGTGAGAAAACAACAACTAAACAGTAAACGAAACTAACTCTATCATGTCAAGAACTTGAGGAAAAAAAATGGCATTAGAAAACGACATCAGTTGAAAACACGACATATACCTTGAAAACAACAACGAAAGTATAATGTTGGAAGTGGGAAAGCTTTTCGGAGGAAAACTACTTGTTGAAGTAGTGGATCCCCTAATGCTTATTCTTAGAGTCTACAGAACAACTTTAAAACAGAATTCTTTTGTCAAGTCAATTGAGAATTTACAATTATGACATTTATTTCATGATCTTTTTACCAAGTTTCGATTCAACAACCCCATGTTCTAACGCAATCAAGAAATTAAGCCACCTTATGAGCTAGTAATTAGCTGTAAAATATAGATTTAAATTACCATGTTCTTACACAATTGAGAAAATATTTCGGTAATGGAGATCAGTGGACCACAAGGATAAAGATCTTTAATTTTTCTGCAATTACTTATTCAAGAATTTTCTGTCAAGGGAAAAACTCAAAAGTTGAGAAACCCCTTTTCCTTAAAGCTTTCAACAGTGTCCCTCAAACTCACTTCCAAAGGGGTGAAGTTAATTCCCAAACTTTTCGCTTTCTCCTTTGAAACTTGGTACTTTGGCAAGAGAGGCTTGTCATCTTCACATCTGCTGGTGCCAAGTCAGCAATGAGAAAACACAAATCTTGGTTTTATATAATCCGATATATGATTGGTTATAGTCTAAGAAAAAATAGTACTGAAAAGAAATGCTAATCCAATACAAATTTTTTCTACCAATGGAACCAAGATCACAGCTTACTTTTCGGGAATGCTCAGAGAGGGGTAGAGTCGTCGTAAAATATCGAGAACCTCAGCAATGTGGGCGACTTGTCCAGATAAACAGCATCTGCCACTAGCGGAAGCAACTTCAAATGCTTGAATATGTGCTAATGCTACATCTCTAACATCAACAAGCCCATGGACTTTATTTGGGAAGGTTTGAGCACCTGTACCACAAAGTACCACAAAGTTTTAAGAATGGTGGAAAAATAGGTGATTAGAAACCCTGCAGGTTACTTAAAGAAACTATAAATACTTGTCAAAGATTTTCTAGACTAATTTAATTGTTTCTAGTTACTGGAAGCAAACTAAGTAAGGCTTGCCCCATTTGTGGTGCTTTTAGAAAAAGTTCTACTTTTACATATAGCAAACGAAGAAGTACAAGCAAAACTACTAACAAGTTAAAAAATTTTAGCTTCTCAAGATAACTGCAAAAGTACACCGGTGTCGTAAAAACGCTTTCCTACACTATTTGCATTGTGTGATGGGCAAAAGCCTTTTGGCCGGAGACTCCAAAAAGCAATATTTGAAGTACTGGCACCTAATTTGATTCTTTCGATTGATCTTGAATTGCCTTAATTGTGATAAAATGGACAAGCTGCAGAAGATTTACCGTTTAGTTGATTTAGAATATTCTTCACACTGGGATTAAGAGTTGGCTGTAACATAGGGCCGATCGCAAGTCCTGGATTAATTGCAACCAAGTCAATCCCGTTTTCTTTTGCGAATTTGCAAGCGTCCTCTTCAGCTAAGGTTTTCGCAAGCATATACCAAAGCTGTAGGCAAGAAGATAGGTAGATGCAAATTATACTTCTCTCTAAAAGATTTATCACACAGTCAAAGAAAAATTCCAACTTCCTAATTTAAATTATAGGCAAGAGGCTTAAGTCTTAACAATAACATCTAACTTAACATGTCATAGAGTACTAGGGACCTGTTTATCTACTTATTTTACAAGTATGGAAGGCGTCCAATTTCCTGATCCTAGAAGACAAAAGGGGGTTTACTAATTCTCATTAGAGAGACAGGTTCAAAGAATCATATATGGGAAGGTAATTTCTTTGTGGCTATACAAATTAAAAAACCGAAAAATCTAGATTTTGAAGAAAGACAGACTAAAAGAGAAACTTGGAAAGAGATAATCAGTACTAAATTAAGCACTTTATTCCACACCTTTGACTCCTCACAGAAAACAGGATCTGAAAACCATGTCTCATCAATAACAACATCTGGCGCAAGAGGTTTCCCGTTGAATGAAACCGAAGCCATGGACGACGTTAACACGACCCTCTTTAGAGAAGGAACCTTTGTGCATGACCTAAAAACGTTTTGTGTTCCCTTCACTGCAAGGTCAATCAGTTGATCTGCCTGAAATATGGAGAACGTTATATATATACATATACATATATAAATATTGATATATATATATATATATAATATATGAATGTATGTATAATTGAGTGATTCACGTTGTCAAATTACTTGAAGGCATTATAAGGTTAGAAGGACTAATTAGCAACCTGTGGATCAGTGACTGTAGAATATGCAGGACATGCTGTATGAAAAACACCTTCACATCCATCAACAACAGGATCAAAGGATCCTTCTTCTAATAAATTTGCTTTGAACAAATGAAGTCTTTCCTTAGCTCCATCTAGTGAAAGCAAGTGTTCCGTTTTCTTTGGATCATCTGTACCATAACATAAGATGGGATAAAAGAATGGGAGGAGATAAATAGCATTTTTTTTTTTGGTGGAATAAAAATAAAGGGCTCTTTACATATGTAGCAAAATTTCAATTATAGAGTTTAAGTATAGCAAAATTTTTAAAATATTATAAGAATAGCAAAATTTTGATATCATTCAAATAATGAATATATCATTGTATAGTACAAAATGTGACGACATTATGATAATAACTGTATCATTTTTGTTATATTTATAATATTTTGAAAATTTTGCTAAATTTCAACTCAAGGTATGGAATTTTGCAATGTAAGGTTAAAAATTTGGATAAAGTTAGTAAAAATAGCAATAAATTTGGGACCCCTTGCCTCCAACTTATCCCATGACTGATTTTGGTAAATTCAGGTAAATCCTGAATTTTATCCCATGATCAAGTTTGATAAATATGATATTTAACTACTAAATTTTGGATTTACACAATGATCAAATTTAGTAGATCCGAGAATTACCAGATCATTTTTTATGAATATCTACTAATTTTCATTTTATATATGTACATAACATTTACTAATTTTCTAGTTAATAAATTTATTAGTTATAAATCCCTACAAATATTCTTTCATAATAAAAAATCATATTCATTAACAATTATAGTACATGTCATTTTCTACCAAAACATTCAAAACTAGACTAAAAGAACATAGTTACCTGAAATTATAATTTATCATAAAAAAACCAACACTATTATGCGGAGGTTGATAATAGGATTTATTTGATTTAAGGATTTATTTTTCATCTTTTCCTTTCAGAAAATAGACAACAACCAAAACCTAGAATCTAACAACAATATTAGTGAAAAAAAAAGTACTTATAGGGAGAAAGAGTAAAACAAAAAAAAGTAGTAGTTAATGACAAACTGAGGTAACGAACTGAGGCTTTGACAGTGTATCCACGTTGAAGCAAAAGCTTGACCAGCCATGAAGCTATGTAACCAGAAGCTCCTGTTACACACACTACCTTCCCTTCTCCGCTCATTTTCAACATTTTTTTTTTGGCTCAGTTATGAATTTTTTTTTTTTTCTTTCTTTCCCTTCTTGTTATGAGAACTTGGAAAAGCGATATGGAATATATTCTGTATGGTTCACTCGAAAGTAAGAATTGAAAAATAATAATATGATAATTATATTATAATATTGTCTCACTTGAGATGTGGCCATGTGGGTAGTTGTGCCATTGTGACAAATGGAGCTGCTTTTTCTTATTATTATTATTATTATTATTATTATTATTGTTTTATTTTATTTTATATTATATTATATTATTAT